AGAACTTACTCATTCCTACTGATCTTAATAGTAACCTACATCAGTGTTTGGAAAAATTCCATTATGGCTCTCTCTCTATAAAACCAGTTTTATAAAATTTAGTGTGTGTGCCTGAATTATGTTCCAACGTATATGTCTATACTTATATGTACACACATTAGTTTTGTTTTATATCCTGACACCAAACAAGCAATATGACAAAAACCAATCATCTTCAAACCATTTATTGTCATAAAAAAGTTAAAAAACATTAAAATAAAATGAGGGTCTTTACAAGATAACAATGATAGAATTTACAAAAATTGTAATCATGGCCCTCCCCAAAAAGACTTGGAGAAGCTTGTATTGAAAGAACAGCTTCTTCGAGGAGTGTTTTTCCTAAAATCTAATTGATGCACTGGTCACAAGATGTGAAAACACAATCCATGTGGAGGTGCTGTGTCATACTCTAGTACTATTTAAATGCTGCACATGTTTGGCCAGTGATGTGTCTAGTATATTTACAATAAACATAAATCAACACCAAAGTCATTAGTCTATTTTTATAGAATTAGCTCCATTTTCCTCTATCTAGGCGAGGACCTGAGTCCTGCAGGAAGAAGGAATGATTTTAATTAAGGCATCTTGTAAAATTTCCTGAATATTCTTTGATATTTATAGGCCCCGTTTTCTAAATATTCCATTAGAAACTGTGGCTCCTATGCCTGCTACTCTAGGCATCCCTTATTCCTTCCTATTTATCCCACCGATTGAAAGCTGAGCAGCACAGCGGAAAACGATCTGGGAGTCACAGAATTGACAGGAAAACTCCGCTGTGTGCTCTGTGCTGGGGTAAAATTACAATGAAAGGGTTTCACATTTCCTGATTTTTGCCCGGCTTTAATTGTGTTATTTTTCATTTGGTAGATATATGTGCCAGGAGGGAACATAATGCAGTTAGGACAGCATCCTGTGGGACAATGTGACTAGACATAGCCATGAAAAGGAGGTGGGGTTAAGACCACTGGCCCCAGATTGCTGAAGGAAGTGAGATAGGTCAGTGCAGACAGAAGCTGTCAGCTGCCCCCAGTTCCTGAAGCACTGAGTCGAAGGATGCTCGAGGAGAAGTTGACAGAAGTAAATGCTACTGTCTACTAAACTCTATGCGGCCATTAAGAGAAGACCTCCATCAAGATATGCCCTCTGGGGAAGTGGAGAAAAATGATCCTATGGCAAGAAAGCGGAGAAATGCTAACCTCTGCAGAAATCATAGAATTGAGTTCTCCATGCACTTACTGAGTAGTAAAGCCGTACATGTGTACAACTGAATTTCTACACATCAGTTATTATTATGCAAACAGCTAAGATGTTATTATTTACAAATAGCTATAGAGATTTAAATCATTTCTGATTTTTTATAGTGGCTGGGCAAGAAAAAGAAAAAGTGTTGGCTTTACGAATAATTTTCATAAATAGATGAGGAATTATATTAACACAAAGCATAATGAACCTATC